GGCTTGTAATATCACAATGCTCATCCAAGTTTAACAAAAAATATATACATATAATCTCCATCAAAAAGAATAGTAAGTATTTTTCTTCAGTGTACAAAATTTAATACATGCTCTTATACCCTATAGTATGATTTTCTTTTTCATATACAGGTAGATTATATTTTGAAGGTTACAACCCAAAGTTTTTAATCATGCACACACACAGTTAAAACCATCATGTGCTATGAATGAATCTATGCGAGCACGAAGTAATTTTTCAATTTCCTAAATCAGAGAGCTGTTTATCAAAATTATTGCTGCTAACTTTGGTTAAAATCATACATCTTTCATATTCATAAATTTACCTTTTCCCATTATCTGCAACTTTCTCATGTGTTTTACAATTATGCCTCACACCTTTGCAATTCTTAATCTATATTCAGTATCACAAGTCTTTCCTCAGCTTTCTTAGAAATCATACCATTTAGTTTTACACTTCTATCTACGTTCACAAGAGTATCCTTCATCTTTTTAAAATCATAACACTTATCTTTTTAATGTATATTTCATCAGCTATCAAAATTAGATGCTTTATTTTTTTATAACTCTAAATTATCATTATATTCTATCATCTACTATTTACAACTATACTTGTTTTGTCTTTAAACTTAATCTTGTCTTTTTAACTTATGTGTCCAATATTTATTTCTATATTTGAAAAATCCGGTGTTAATTTTATTCTTCACATGGGTATTTACCACTCCCTCTTTCTCAAAACACCGTATGTGATGAATGAAAACAAAATAATATATGCATACAGAGGATGCACAGACACAAAGAGAAAGGAACACCAGATTAGAGTGATCACGCCCACACAGTGGACAGGAGTAGGCATGGTCAGCGGGCACCATTGGAGGCGATGTCACAAGCAAGAGAAGGAAGAGAAAAGGGCTTGTTTAGGGCTTGTCTACTGAGAAATCTGCCCACCTGTGATGTCACTCAACTCAAGTTCGCCTGTGACCTGATCTCTACTCATGAATACCCTTGTGCCTGCTATTGGTCAGGCATTTAGGTCAGACATTTCTATTTCATCTCCATTTTGTTGCAACTGTTTCCCTTTATCTTAATACACAATTTCCTACACTTAGACTTTTCACCCACTATTCTTTATAAACAGCATATAAACTTAACTTGTTCTACTTTAAAATTGGCCCCTTTATCACAGATACAAGTAAATAGTAAGCTCTACCTTAATCTTAATCAATCTCTACCTTGGAAATTTGTAGTTTAGTTGTGAGTATTTTTTTGATCAAAATATACACATTTTCAGCCTTACAATCAAAGTCATCACAGCTTATTCAAGGAAAAAGTCAATGACAAAATAGGAAATCACGGGTTAACCGCCGTTTAGATTTCTGCTTCTTATTTGCACTTTTGCATTTTTTGTTTTAAGTAACCTTGGGGTTTGTAGAGAATCAATGGTGTTGTTATTGTTTGCGTAGAAAGCTAAATTTCAGCTCATTCTGAAGGGGCAAGATTGAACTTTCTAGTGGTTGTGATGATATTTTTTTTTTTTTTTTTTTTTTTTTTTTTTTTTTTAAGAAGATACACCCAAAAACCATGAACTTGAATGGCCATTTCTGGCTTCTGACAGACTAAGATTCACTATTTTTTTTTTTTTTTCCTTCATGCATGAGTCTTCTTTTCATTTTCTTTACTATTTTATTTTTACATGAGGTGCATTCTTTCCCTTCAAAATTGCCTCAATTCAGTTTCCTGCCAAACACACAGCCTGCTACAAGTGTTGAAAGAGTCATTTGAATGAATTACCAATGTCACTGTACACACCATGAACCATTTTGCTCGGCAAGCAAAAATGCAAGAGCTAACTTTATGAGTATATTAGAAAAACTTTTCAGCAGAAATAAACAACTGATACATTTCCTCAGTTGTTTAAAAATTAGTGTATATATAAAAAAAAATTATGACAACAAAGTTCTTCAAAGTTTTGAAGTTTTCTTTAGAAAATAGAAAAATGTTCAGTAACAATCAAGGTTTTTTTGTTAATACTTATGATCTAAACATCCCCAAAAGATAATTTTCAGAACTACATTTCATAACATATTAAGTAAAAGTAAAAGAAAAAAAAAAAAGACTTATTAAGCCAACTGCATTTTTCATCATCAGTAGGTAAGTAATTTCCTAACAAGTGTAGAAAAATGCATGAATGAGAATGAATATCTTTAGAGCAAATGAAACACATTTAGCACATTTCAACTGCATCTCGTCATTAATATCAACTACACTGTGAAGATATTAATACCCATGCATACCTTTTTCAACATTTGTCACAAGTAATACAAATACTGAGCAAAATGCAGTGTACTATGGCTGATTTGTTTAAGTTGTTTATATACAACTCTGTGTGTTTGTGTGTTTTTTTTTTGTTTTTTTTTTTTTTGTGTGTGTGTGTGTGTGTGTGTGTGTGTGTGTGTGTGTGTGTGTGTGTGTGTGTGTGTGTGTGTGTGTGTGTGTGTGTGTGTGTGTGTGCGCGCGCGCATGCGCCCACACATACATATGTATATATACTTTTTTAGCCTGAAAAATGTTAATTCTTTCAATTTCACTTTATTTCATTGCACTTCTCAAAAACCATTGTAAACCTTGAATGAAATAAGTAAATCTTTCTTTCTTTCTTTCTTTTTCTCTCTCTCTCTCTCTCTCTCTCTCTCTCTCTCTCTCTCTCTCTCTCTCTCTCTCTCTCTCTCTCTCTCTCTCTCTCTCTCTCTTGTTCATATATATATATATATGTATATGTATATGTATATGTATATGTATATGTATATCTATATTTATATGTATATGTATGCATGCATATATGCATATATACATATGCATATATATACATATATACATACACTATATATATATATATATATATATATATATATATATATATATATATATATATATATATATGTATACATATACATATATATTCACTTCTCTACTTTAATCTATCTATTCAAACCTTATCCTAAGCTTTGTAATCAACATCAGTATCAAATTCTAATTCTCAAGGAAAAGAAAAACGAAGAGCGACTTACGCACGGGAGAAAACCCATTACGCATGAAACTAGATTAAGAGAAAGTTTAAAATTCGAATGATTTCACCTTCAGGACAAAACTCCGAGGGAATTTCAAAACGTCTGTCCCTCCTTTCCCATAAATCTAGTCATGTGCGTAAGAGGGCTTTTCTACTACAGTATAAACAAGGCCAAGTGTTTTGCCATTCACTTCACATATACATACATCCATACACCAGTTTCTTTTAACCCTGGTCTTCCTACGTGTAAATGTAGCTTAATATTGCCACAGCCATAACGGAGACCACCAAGAGCAAGACCAGGAAGTACGTCCGCACAGGTATCCACAGGATCTTTGCTTTGAGACTCAGGCAGGAGACGTACAGGAGGAAGGAATCGATGTCAGTCTGAGGGGTCGACTGGTAGCCGAAGGGACGAGCATGAAGCTGGCAGCCCATCTGTCAAAGGGGAGGGAGGAGGCAAGTTGAATGTCAAGTTGTGTGTGTGCGCACACATGCATACATACATAAATACATACATACATACATACATACATACTTACTTACACATACACATACACATACACACACACACACACACACACACACACACACACACACACACACACACACACACACACAAACACCAACAAACACACACACAAACACCAACAAACACACACAAACACCAACAAACACACACACAAATACCAACAAACACACCCATCTTCTCACCTTGCTCAATGCGCGGTAGGCAGAGGAGAGCCGCGCCGCCATGAACAGAGGAACAGCCAAGAGGAGAAGCCACGGAAGAAGGTTGGTGACGACGGCAGCCAAGTGGAGCCACTCTATCTGCGACTCTCTCATGGACGGCATCTCCTCTCCTGCCGGGAAGATCCTCCTGCTCGCGTTATGACTGGTAGCCTGAGGGAAGGCCGAGAGTCATGGTTTTTACTTTCCTCATTATGGCAAATTATATAATTAGTGTTGTAAATCAATGCCAGTGTGATTGTGCTGAATTATTAACCCATTGCCGCCGGGGATGGCATGTACGTACATGCCATGCCCACTGTGAGTTGACTTGTTTGATTGTTTTTACACATAGATGGCTACACTTGTACTAAGTCACCAATGTGCCAATTACGAGTACTGCCTGTCTCGTCCGTTCACCTTTTTCGTCGATTTACGAAAATATTTAATGTTATCCTAATTTGCTGGTAAAAATAACACCATCCATATTTATAGCACTAGTAAGAATACGTTTTTTCCCGCCAAAGGTGAAATCAGGACTAGCAGAGCCACCTATGTACAGAGATATTTCACAAAAATAGAAAAATGTGTACAGTATTTTCCCCATTTTTTGTTCATTTTCCCCGGCAGCAATGGGTTAAGGCCCAATACAAATAGTGAAAGTATCATGCAACTTTTTTTTGGTAATAACTTTTACTCTGAAGATTTAAAGGTTGCGTATAAAATATGAGACAAAATCTAACTGCACAAGACTCTAAATAAATAGATAAATATATGCAGTGTCCAGCAGCTTCACACAGCCATCTGAATTGAGCCTAAGGCTTTATCCAACATGTGGGGAGGTCTAACCACCTCACCTTCAGTGAAGACACAACCAAAGACAAACTCAGTCATACAAGTCACGTCTTACAATTCAAAGAGCATTGAACAACATTGAACATGTTTTTGAAAAATGGCAACATGTACAACTGTCTAATTCAGCCTGAACACCCTGTATATATGTGTGTGTGTGTATGTGTATGTATATGTATATGTATATGTATATGTATATGTATATGTATATGTATATGTATATGTATATGTATATGTATATGTATATGTATATGTATATGTATAAGTATATATATACCTATTCATATATATTTAAACATATATATACACATATATATATACACACATATACATA